GTGCCATTGTTAATTTTTTTCTCTTTTTCACATCAACACACCGTGTCCAGTTCTGTTCTACCACAGCTAGTCCTTTTCCACATCTCCAAATCTGCTGTTTCAAATTAATCAGACTTTTTTTCCTCACAAAAAGTGAGACATCTTGCTTTTGAGATTGGTAGAGGGGTTTTCCCATACACACTCTTATGTTCTTACAATAAACCATATAAAGCTTTTAAATCTGTTATAAAGCAAGATGAAATATTCATTTGGAAGCGTGAAAACAAAGATGTTTCTAGATTTGAGTGCAGCCCTGAAAATTTACAAAATCTTCACCCAAACTGCTGGTTTTTAATAGAGGAAGACATTTGCTTCCTAAAATTTTTTGGCTGCCAGTTACCTATGTCAGTTATGTGTCCTCATGCTTGCCTGCCCACTTGCTCCCCTGCTCTGCAGTGTTCTTGCAGGAAGTGCTTTGCCATGATTGTGGGTGCAGCGGGATCCCTGGGAGCTTGGGAACTGGCAACGGTCTTCCTGCTCTAACACAGCACAACTGGATTGTTCCTGTGCTCCTTTACGTGTATAGGTGGAAGGAGAGATTTGCAAACATGTGGGTACTTCCAAGTGGAACTTCTCACCTCCTAAATCTGGGTATTGCCACCTTGCTGCCTAATGAATGCTTTGAGTGGTCTGTCACAGGTTTTCCATGCAAGACAAATTGGCTGTAGGGAATGAATGATGATGCCTATTTTGTTTCATTATTAGCAGTAATATGCTCCATTTTTCAGTAGGAGGAAAATATAGGAAAGGGGAATTGTTTATAGACTTGTTAATTGCAAAAGGTTTTAGACCTTCATGGTAGGGAGAAAGGGAGAGGTAACACTTGAGTAGTTACACTGGAGTGTGTTTGTCGTGTCTGGGGACAGTATCAGAGTAGCATTGTCCTTGACTCCAGTTGATCATGGATGAATACCCAGGCTAGACTGCATTTGCCATATGCATCTGTTGACATTCTCCCATGAAATCACAAACGTGGCCACTGGCTTTAGTAAGACTTCAGCACATGCTTTGATGTTTTACTGAATATGGTGCTTAAAAGCACAAAAAGGGGCTGAGAGTAGGAGGTTTTTTTCACTAGGCTTGAGGTGCCTCCCGTTTAGGCAGCTCACCGGGGGCAGTCATCCAGTATTCTGTGGGAATTAAGTGAGGAAGAAATGGTATTCACGTGAAACTGGAATTCATGAATCCCCTTTTGGAGACAACCCTGACAACAGCTCAGCCAAGACATCTGGTACATATCTGGAGCAAAGTGGCTTTGTCTCCTGGGCTTTTTTCAGGTTTTACTTCTGAAAAGTTATCCATCGCTGACCTTTAAGCAAATCCACCAAGTATTTAGGTCAAATGTAACCTTTCCATTACATTTCACATACACTTTGGGTTATGCTTTTTCTCTTAGAAATCATGGGAATCCTGGAACTTTGGTTTAGACTTTGTAGTCTGAACCCCTGGCTGCAAGGAGAGAACCAAGCCATGGTGTCAGGGATTTTTTGTTCTTTTTTTTTGACTCCCTCCTATTTCCTTGTTGAATATAAATGTTCTGGAGTTTTTCTCTTTGGAAAGGAATTCAAACACACTTTTGTGTTCTCTCCTCTGCAGTAATTCACACTGTACATGAGGTAGGTTCTTGGGAAGCATCCTATAGGTGAGATAAATCCATGCATTACCTGGCGCGTGCACGTTGAACCAGTCTTTTCAGGTTGTGAGTTTAATGTTGAGCTTAACTCAGTTTCCTCCTGCCGTATCAGGAATAACACTAGCCTGGCCTGTGAAGCTCTAGCATTTTGGATAGGCCATTTCAGCAAAAACTGCTTTATCCTGATCTTAAATCATCAGTGGTTAGAGGCTGTGAGATGGCACAGTGAGAAGGAGGAGTTTTTTCCACAACTGCCTTCTCATGAAGACTTTTGTACTGTGCTTGCTCCAGTGTGATGTGTCAGACATAAAACTTTGTAAATGATGTATAAAATCCATCAGCTAGAGGATGATGTCCTTAACAGTCAGCTGGAGAGTAGGAATGCTTCACTGCGTGCTCTGTCACTCAGCCTTTCCTCTGCACTCTGCCCATTCACAGGTCTCCTTGGGCTCATTTGAACACTCCAAAACCCTTGAGAAGTTTTAAGCAGGCTTTTGCAAATGAGTGTGTTAAAAAGCTTAAGAAATGCTTCATGAACATGTCAGGGGCAGTCTGACCTCATGACTATGGAACCAGAAAAAATATTCTTTTTTCAGGGTGGTTGTGTGGGAAGAGATGTTGAGTGAAGTATTTCCATTATGTTCGGGCTTGTTTCTGCCTGACCCTGTGCCTGTCCTTCCATATCTTGAGCTTCCTGGGACAAGGTCTAGTTAGCTCTTTTTAAGCTGAAACACAACGGGTCCTACCACATCTAAATAGTCTTGTCCTATAAATCTCAGTGGAAACAAAGCCATGCTAATGCCTCAGTGCTCAGTCTATCAATGCTGACAGTCCTCTCCTCTTTGAGTCCATGCTGTTAGAAATGTAGCAAAAGCCTGACAGTACATTAATGTATATATTCATGGGAAGGGTCTTTCAATGAGATACAGGATCTATTGGGTGCGAGTCAAACAATGAAGAAATTAATTGTGAGGAAGTGGTTGCAATGCTTTAATCAATAAGACTGCAGTAAAATTGAATGTTGAAAGAACTTGTCCTCTTCTATCCTGTTCAGTGCTGCTCCTGAATAAGGAGCAGTGCTCAGGTCATGGACTAGAGCAGTATCTCTTCCTGAGTTTCTTCATTCCCTTGACAGCTGGGGCCACATGGGCAAACACACAGTCAAGTTAATTTGCAACCTTCTGGCCATGGTCACTGTCTGTGTACTCTTTTAACATATGGCAAATGCAAGAAAGTGTGACTAGGCTTAAATGTATTTCAGGGTGAACTAAACTAAATTGTACTGCTGTGTTTGCCACAGGCAAAGTCATGTGTATGTGCAGTACCCAACTCAACTGGCTTTTGGAAAGCCATCGAGATGCACTAGCTTGGGAACACGTTTAAGCCCTTGGCATTGCAAAGGCAGTGATCAGAGAGACTGATGGGTGTGTTAAGGCATTTGAGAGGCAGCCAAATTCAGTACTTTTAAAAATTCCTTTCACCATCAGCACTGTGGCTGCAGTCCTTTCCTGTAGCTGGAAGCAGGATGTTTGATTCTAGTTCATTCTCTTTTGTGAAAAGTCAGGAGTGGGGTGGGCTGGGCCTGGGGTAAAAGCAGCAGTGGTCATGCAGGGTGATATCTCCATATAATTTGCTTTTCTTTTCCTTCCACAGCCCTTTTCAATCTAATTCCTGTGGGTCTTCGCGTGGTGGCAATCCAAGGGGTGAAGGCAGGTCTGTACGTTGCCATGAACGCTGAGGGATATCTCTACAGCTCAGTAAGTACTTTGCACTGCTGGGGTCCTGGGGTGGTTTGGTTTTGTGGGCAGGAGGAAGCAGGCTGTGCTGGCACTTGCAGCTTTTTCTGTAAACAGTCACGTATCACCAAACCTTTAAAAGTAGGAGCGGGGGGAGCTGCTGCAAGACCATGCAATATTCACTCTAAAGTGTCTCCATGGAGATTCGTGGCAATATTTCCTGACCTGTGAAGATACACTTTGTGTTCCTTTGAGTATGTACTTAATGTAGGTCATGTTGTAGAGGAGGTGGTGTAGAGTTGACTGGTTATATTCTGATTTCACATATGTGAAATGGCATGGACTCAGTGGGATTGCTTCTGAGTTGCAATAACCCAGATAACTGATCATAAGTGGTGCCCCAATGGTTCATGCTCTCTTTTTGACTGCAGTGTAAATCCACAGAAATACCCTGACTCCATTAAAATGGTTCTGGACTATTCTGTTGGCAGAATTTCCCTGTATTTGTGTGGTCTTTTTAATGCACGTAAAAGATAAGTGAGGCAATTTTTACCAACTAATTTCCTTATAACTTTCTTAGATGGCATGAAAGGGCATGAGGTTATTCATAAGATTCTCATTTGAAGTAAGTAATTGATTTTCACAGTGAATAATTGATTTGGTGATTTATTAAATATGGCAACCATTTGCCAGAATTTTTATGCTTCAAATAACTTTGCTCTAGTTCTATATAGTAAAAAGTGATAGTTAATAATACTTTTCTCATTTCCAGAGTTATGATAGCTTTACAGTGTATAGCCAAGATTTTAATCTCATCTGCCTTTGTGTAAATTTACAATGCAGAGATTCTGCTCTTGTCTAGGCATTTACTTTGCTTTAAAAGTGTATGTGAGCATGGAAATGGGACCACTGAAAGGACAGAAGTTTGAGTTGTTCTATGCAATTTTTCCTGACTTTCACCATCCATCTTTGTTCCTGGTCAGTTTTATACCACTCACGTGATTTGGACTTCCCCCTTTCCCTGGGGATGTAACAAAGCTCTGTCTCCCCAGCAGCTCAGGGTAGGAAACGACAAGTGAATGTGTTAGTATGCCTGGCGAGATAGGTCTCGAAACTGGCTGCTTGTCAAGAAGAGACAGAGAGATCAATCTGGATCTCTGTGGATGCCAGACGCTTCCTGTTCTTTCATAGCCCAGTAAACATAAATGACTGCTCCTAAATAAATTACATTGGTTTACTAACAATGAAAACTTCCTCTTTTGTAAAGCTACCAGAGTCCTAAAGGTAGTACCAAGTATGGTATGCACTGTGGATGCTTCCCACTGGGCACATCGTCAAGGGGGTCAGGACTGATGCTTTGGCCAGTTTGTGGAGTGCAGGACATAGCTCTGGCCCCGCCATAGAGTTCTGGCTCCTTGTACCACCAGTGCCCTGTAAATGAGGACTGCAGGAAATCAGTGTGTGTCACAGAGCCACATCCAAGCTGTGGGTCTTCAGGTCAGCATTTTCTGAACAAATAGTGCAAGGGAGGGAAAGGTGTGGGTCTTGAGCAAAAGAGGGAAGAGAGACTTGGAAATGTAATTTTTGACAGCTGAGAGATTAGAGATGATGCAGAGGAAAAGTATCTCTTGCTAGTAGTAGTGAGACACAATATAAAGGGTGGGAGGGGCATACCAAGAGATGATAAGCTGCAGGAGGACCATGTTGTCCAGGAAACACATCTGCTAGTCATATCAACTCCTAAAAGGCGCCAGATCATACATGTGTTCAAATGTGGGTGGTTTAATGGGGCCCTCTTATTTCCAATGAGTGTGCCCCTCTTGAGTAGTCAGGGAAGGCTGATGGGGAAGGATGCACCATGATGGCCACTGGTTAATGAAGTGAACCTCATTACATGCCACAGCTTGATGGCATTCAGATCTATCTGAACTAATAAGAGTGAAACTATTCATTTCATCAACATGATCTAAGGTTTCATTTACAGTAAATGGATGATACTGGTCCATCTCTACTCCAGGGAGATGGAACTTTTTGAATACTTTTCTTGTGATGACTAGTGGCTCTGTCTCTGTCTTAGAGCAGTAAATCAATGAATTCACTGTGCTTTGAAGCACACCTTAGGGCAAGAAAAAAGAAATTTTGTGGATAAAGCCAGTTAGAAACAGGGAGTGTGGGTCGAGCCCATCATAACATTGAAGACAAGAGATAAGGAAACCAGGGTGCTTTAAAGGAACTGGGTATATTTGAGAAGAGCTTGACCTGTTTGGGCAGTCTCTTTTGGATACTGTAGCTTTTCTTATGGTGCCAGGATCCCAGTCCAAGACAAACTTTGGCATGGCTGTATCAGTCTGGAAGACTGTGCAGAGGAATTGCTTTGGTAGGACTTGACATTCTCGTCCTCTGGGATGATCAGAGTCCCTGGCCATGTGGTCCATTCCAGGGGACACATCATCCCTGTTCGTTGCTTAGCAGACCCTAAACTACACTTTGTTCTCTCTGTGCATGTACCTATTTTTTTTCACTAGCCTTTTCTGAGGAGTTTCTGAAAAAATGGGTCAACATTCCCCATAAATATTGTTCACTCACACAGGTCCATTGATAAATGAACTTTTTTGTTGCTTGGCTGCTTTCCGTGCTGTATGTCCCAGGCCTAGCTCTGCAAAGGCTTCTTAGAACGTGATCAAACCCAGGACTGGTTTTAGATAAAATTGTCCAGGGTAATGAGTTTTTTTATTTTGTTTTTTTTTTTTTCATTTTTTTTCCCCTCCTCTTGAGCCCAGATTGATGCTGTAACTGAATGTGTTGTCACTATGGTATTTGTTTTGGTTTTGTTTTGTGGGGTTATTTTGGTGATATTTAATCTCTGTGTGACAGCTGAGATCTTGGCTGACATCCTCTGCCCTGGATCAAACCAGAGGCTATTATCAGCCTGGTCTCGAAGATGGTTTGTGCCAGCTCCTTCTGAGTTTGGGCCAATGGGCTCTTGAATGAATGGGCTTAGAATAGCCAGCCCTTGGAAAAAGTCTTCCTGGTGTTGATTAGCACAAAAGTAGGGCTGAGTGGAGTCCTCCAAAGCCAAGCTTGTTGAGATGGCACTTTGTGGAAACGTGCAGGACCTTTTGAGGGCTCGGCCACATTGGTACCTTCAGCAATGAGTTTCCTCATCCCTACCTCTTCTGTTCAGACAAGGATAGTGTAGGGTTGGGTTGCTGGTTTGAAGCCAACCATAGATTCTTAGCCAGCTTCAGAGGCCTAAATGCATTAGATGATAAAGCTTCTTTACTTGGGAAGCAGCTGTTTGCGACTTGTGCATTTTTTACTTATGCTAGATACCTGATTTTTTTTTTTTCCCCCCAGAAACTAGGTTATTGCCACCTCTGAGGTCTACATGGGAATTAGGTGCTTAGTAGACAAGAAAATCATGTCTTGGTTGAAGGCATTTGGCTTTAGGATGCAAAACACTGTCTTCATAGCAAGTTTGTGAAGTCATTGGTGTGTTTCTATTTGATTTCCTATAATGTAGAGCAGCCGTAAATTCCCTGATGGTGCACAAGCACCTGTTCTGGGGAGGGACATGACTCTCCTGAGGATCCACTGTTAGCATTTTATGCCAAAGTATAAACACACAGAATGAGTGAAGGGCAGTGAGTATTACTTGTAGTGCCTTACCCCATGGGAAGCTGCCACCAAAGGCTGGTTGTTGCACAGGAGAGGGAAACGCAGAATAAAGAGGTACGTCCTGCTCCAGTGAATTTACAGCCTAATCTTAATGGGAGAAGACACAGAACATGCTCTACTGTCTGTCTGGAGTTAATAGTTCCACCACCAAATTAATTCCCACTCCTGTATAACCTTCCTTTGTGAAGTTTTTCTCCTCGGTGCCCAGCTTTCTTTCCATTATCCCTTCAACAACTCACAGAGGCATGGGAAAGGGAGTGCCTCTGAAGTGCTTTGCCTGAGAGGCAGACCTGGTTCTCCTGGAGCAGATCACCATCAAGGGGCTGTTGAGCCTCCCCAGGTCTGCCCAAGTACGCTGAAAGTGCAGCTCTCAATATGACGATATGTATAATTCAGTGGCATTGCAGCTGGGATTGGTTTTGCCCCAAGTGCAAAACACTTATCTTCTGAAATGTATTGCTCTCAGATATTCCTTGTTGTTTAACTCAGAGTTCTAATTATTTTTGAAATAGCAAATTGTGATACATAATTTATTGGAAAGACTGAGAAAACCCTAGCAGAGATACAGAATACAGAGGAAAAAAAATGGGTCGCTTACGAGAGCTCACTATGGTTTTACAGTATAAACCTGTGAGTTTGAAATGCTGAAATTAGAGCCTGAATCACTTCAAAGATTCCTGCTAATAAGGGAATGATTATGCACAATAAAAAAAAAAATCTAAGCAGCATTGAGAAAACCCAAGTCACGTTAAGAGCTCAGTGTGTCTTTGCATTTTCTTTTCCTCTCCTATTTTTCTGCTTTATCATTTTGCATAATAAACATGTCTTGCATAATGATAAACAAGCATCTGGGGAAGTATGTATATTAACTGTGTTTTTAATCTGCTTGCAATGCTATAACTATTTTGCTACGACTCCTTTAGGGTAGCTGCACACCTATTTACATCATTCCAAGGTCAGGGGCTGGAATCAATAATGCTGCATTCTCTCCCTGCTAATATGCTTGGGGTGTACAACCTGCTCCTGCCAATGCCATTTCTTTAATTCTTGTTTGACCTCCAGTGGTACTTGTTGGTTTGGTCAGAAGTACAGGCAGGCCAGGCAGGTATCCTGGACATCTCCCTCTGCAAACCTTGCAAGCAAGCAGACTTGGTGGGGAGATTCCCTAGTTTACATGCCTCATTAGGGAGCCAGGTCAGTGGAGGGAGAGAAATGTCTCCAAAGGCAAAGCACCGCAGGAGACCAATGTAATGTGCTTTTAATTTCTCTCCAGAGTATCTACTCTTCTTCACTGGCTGTTTAAAAGGGCTCGCTACATGAAGGCATTAGCTGGGAGATACAAA